GCCCGGGAACGTCCGGCTTCCCACTGCTGGCGTGGCCCACAGGGACCTGTCACTGGGTCCTGTCCCCTTCTGCAGGATGCGTTGTGTCCTTTGAGGAGGTGTTCCCCCTTCAGAGGTGAGAGATGCAGGTGACCTGCTCAGTCAGGCTGACCCAGCAGGCGGGTGGCAGAGCCGGGATCCAGTTCCAGGCCTGTTGGGATCCTTCTGGAAAGGCCTGTGGCTCTCCCCTCAGGCATGATAGCCATGGGGACACCACGCCACGTGATGAGTGCACACCCCGCTTGTCTTCCCGCAGCATTTCCCAGCCCCGGGGTGTGTAGAAGCGAGGGAGGGAGCCGGGCCGCAGGCTGCGGGGAGGGCTCTGCCACGCAGTTGGCTCCTGCTGACTCTCCGGGCCTTCATTTCTTTGCCTTTCCCCCTCGACTGTGCCAGGGACTTCACATTCTCATTTCTCGGTTCTGAGCCCGGCCGTCAGGCTGGGAATCCTGGTGGAGGGCCCAGGCCAGGTTCCAGGGCAGAGGCCTGAGGAAGTGGTTCCCGCAGCCCGAGGAGAGCTGGGGTTCTTTTTAAACCTAAGCAGACGGGGTGATAGGGGCAAACTCCACGAGGCTTCCCAGTTCAAGGGACAGGGCTAAGGACGCCCTCGCCAGGGCTGGAGATCGGATTCTGGGGCTTTTTTGGGTGGAGCTGTAATTGACATAAAGCATTATGCCAGCTCCAGACGTGCGGCGTGATGACTGTGTTCGTACGTGTGCGAAACGATCGCCACAGTAAGTCTAACGTCTGTCACCTCAGTTGCCCGTTTTTTCCTTGTGATGAGCACTTTTCAGATCTCTTAGCAGGTTTCAGATACTCAGTGTGGTGTCACGAATGGTAGTCACCCTGCGTCCGTCACGTCCCAGGTCTCACACCGGTTTCCCGCCATCTGGGGAGGGGTCCTGTGCAGCCTCTGTGAGCGGACGTGGCGCAAAGCGGTTACTATTAATTTATAAGAAAAAGTGTTGAGGGTCCCCAGACCCCAAATTCAATGCTCGTACAGTGTCTTTATTTCATTCATTGGAACTGAAATGCTGATTACATTCAGGTTTGTGCTAAACATGACCCCCTCCCGAGCCCTTGGGCTTTCCCGGTGGCGTAGACACACCTGGCCGATGGGGGCAGAGTAAGTCGAGATGAAGCCCAGATGCTCAGGCTCAGTTCGAAGTTTCGATGGTGGCTGCTGAGACTCTGGGTGCTGAGACATTGGGTGCTGAGATGCTGGGTGCTGAGACGCTGGGTGCTGAGTGCTGAGATGCTAGGTGCTGAGGTAGCTGGGTGCTGAGACTCTGGGTGCTGAGATGCTGGGTGCTGGGATGCTGGGCGCTGAGAGGGTGGGTGCTGGGATGCTGGGTCCTGAGAGGCTGGGTGCTGGGACGCTGGGTTCTGAGAGGCTAGGTGCTGGGACGCTGGGTGCTGAGAGGCTGGGTGCTGAGACTCTGGGTGCTGAGAGGCTGGGTGCTGGGATGCTGGGCGCTGAGAGGGTGGGTGCTGGGATGCTGGGTCCTGAGAGGCTGGGTGCTGGGACGCTGGGTTCTGAGAGGCTAGGTGCTGGGACGCTGGGTGCTGAGAGGCTGGGTGCTGAGACTCTGGGTGCTGAGAGGCTGGGTGCTGGGATGCTGGGCGCTGAGAGGGTGGGTGCTGGGATGCTGGGTCCTGAGAGGCTGGGTGCTGGGACGCTGGGTTCTGAGAGGCTAGGTGCTGGGACGCTGGGTGCTGAGAGGCTGGGTGCTGAGACTCTGGGTGCTGAGAGGCTGGGTGCTGGGATGCTGGGTGCTGAGAGGGTGGGTGCTGGGATGCTGGGTCCTGAGAGGCTGGGTGCTGGGACGCTGGGTGCTGGGACGCTGGGTTCTGAGAGGCTAGGTGCTGGGACTCTGGGTGCTGAGAGGCTGGGTGCTGGGATGCTGGGATGCTGGGTCCTGAGAGGCTGGGTGCTGGGACGCTGGGTCCTGAGAGGCTGGGTGCTGGGACGCTGGGTTCTGAGAGGCTGGGTGCTGGGACGCTGGGTCCTGAGAGGCTGGGTGCTGGGACGCTGGGTCCTGAGAGGCTGGGTGCTGGGACGCTGGGTTCTGAGAGGCTGGGTGCTGGGACGCTGGGTCCTGAGAGGCTGGGTGCTGGGACGCTGGGTCCTGAGAGGCTGGGTGCTGGGACGCTGGGTTCTGAGAGGCTGGGTGCTGGGACGCTGGGTCCTGAGAGGCTGGGTGCTGGGACGCTGGGTGCTGAGAGGCTGGGTGCTGGGATGCTGGGTCCTGAGAGGCTGGGTGCTGGGACGCTGGGTGCTGAGAGGCTGGGTGCTGGGACGCTGGGTCCTGAGAGGCTGGGTGCTGGGACGCTGGGTTCTGAGAGGCTGGGTGCTGGGACGCTGGGTTCTGAGAGGCTGGGTGCTGGGACGCTGGGTCCTGAGAGGCTGGGTGCTGGGGCGCTGGGTGCTGAGAGGCTGGGTGCTGGGATGCTGGGTCCTGAGAGGCTGGGTGCTGGGACGCTGGGTTCTGAGAGGGTGGGTCCTGAGAGGCTGGGTGCTGGGATGCTGGGTCCTGAGAGGCTGGGTGCTGGGGCTCTGGGTGCGGGGACAGTGCAGCTCCAGGAGGGAGCTCAGCGGAGCCCCGGCTGCATCATCTCACAGCGCCGGATGCTGTTTGGCTCCTCACCTTTTTTCATAAAAGTGAAAATCCTCTTTGGGTTTCTTCTGGTTCCTGAAGACGGGCACCAGGTAGGTCTTTCGTAAAAGCGGAGCTGAGTAAAGCGAACTTTCGAGAAGGGGGGCACCTGTCCTGGAGGTTCGCACCTTTGACCGCTTATTTCCCCCAGGCGCGTCCTGCGGCTTAACCGAGTTGGTGAGTTCCCACCGCCGTTGGGTGGCGTCTGGGAGGTTTCTTTGTACAGCGTCAGGTCGTCCTCAGGTGGGGACGGTCTTCGTTCCTGCTTCCCACCCGAGTGCCCCTTACCCCGCGTTCCTGCCCGGCTGCCCTGGCCGCGGTTGGGGACTGTGCTGAATAAAAGCGGCCCGCGTGGGCATCCTTGTGCCTGACCTCAGAGGGACAGCTTTCGCTTTTTACTGTTGAGTGTGGTGCCAGCTGTGGGCGCGTCACAGGTGACCTTTGCTGTGTGCGGAGCTAAGTTCCCTCTGTACCCGCTTTGTCCAGAGAGTTTTTTAAATCATAAATGGGTGTTGAATTTTGTTAATGTTTCCCGTTGATCGATTTGTGGGTGTTGAACCATCCTTGCCTCCCCGGCATGAGTGCCACTGGGTCCTTTCAGTGTGGCGTTGGATTCGCGCTGCTAAGGTTTGGTGGAGACTGAGTTCTAACAGGGCGTCACCTGCCCTGTGCTGGGGACCCCCTCTCGCAGTAACGGTCACGAGGGCTGCGCAGGAGGGGCTTCCGTTTAATACACCTGCCCCCCCACAGGGCCCCCGAGAGGCAGCCCTGCTGCTCTAGTCCGCGGAGACCCCTCGATGCCCACGGGCTGCAGCAGGGGCTGGGCCCCCGGCAGGGAGCGTGGGGAGGGGGCTCGCGGGGCCGGTGGCAGGCTTGGGGGAGGCTGCACGGCCCGGCTGAGAGCCCAGCTCTGCGCCCCCCAGCTGTGCGGCCCGAGTGTGGGAAAGTCTGGTGACAGCTGCAGTAGGAGAGCCGATGCCCCCTTCCCGCCGCACCCAGGTGCTGTCCTTGGCAGTGCTGCAGTGAGTCCTTGGCCCAACCACGAGCCTGGGCGCTGGGTCCCCTCACTGTCGTTCGCAGGCAGGAGCCTGGGCGCCCGGGAGCTGAGTGACTTAGAGCTTGGCTGCTGGGCTGTGTTGGGACCTCACCCGCTTGCCCCTCCCGCCCCTCCACACCCGGCTAGCAGGGTTCTTGCTCTGGCTGGAGAGCCATGGGCCTGCTCAGCTGCTCCCCCTGGCACCACTGCCCCCTCCCCTTTCTGGACAACCTGACCTCCTTTGTCACCCGGCCTCAGGCTCAGCTCCCTCTGCACTCTCCCTGGGCTGTTCCAGGCCAGGTGGCTGTGTCCCTGCCACGGGAACCGGGCGGCACCTTCCCCATGGACTTTTTAAACTGATCCAGCCGTGGTTCCATCCTGCCAGTCTCCCAGTGCCAGGCACAGGCTCCACGTGCAATGCAGTCTGTCCAGACTGGAGCTTCTCTGGCCCTGAGAGGGAGACAGCCCTGACAGTGAGCACCTGCAAGGCCCAGAGCCAGGGTCATTGTGTCCCCCAGGCCCCACGCCCTCCAGCTGGGAGGACCTTCCACCTCTGTGCTCTCCCCACATATCGTTGTGTATTTATCTGCAAGTGTTAGCCGAGCACATGCTGTGTGCCAGGCTGGGCACTCGGCCTGCAGCGTTGAAGGAAGCGGAGTCCCTGTGCTCGCGGAGCCTGCCTCTGTGGGAGGGACAGACACCAACTGAGCGCGCAGGACACTGTGGAGGGCGGAGGGGGCGGGGCCCAGGTCTGCCCCTCCGCTCACGGTCCCGCTCCAGGGCAGAGCTGGTGCCAGGCCTCAGGAGACCGTGGAACAGCCGAGCAGCTGGTGGCTGCTGCTTCACCTGGGTGACTGGCAGCAGTCAGATGGGCAGCCATCAGTCACATGCCCAAGTGTCCGTGAGGCTTGATCGTATTTGTGCCCGGAGCTCTCAAAGGGCCTCAAGACTAAAAATAGCTCGTTTATAAAATAACAGTGAGGTAGGAATCTGATGAAAATGAAATGGTATGAAAAGTCCAGTGGAAATGACTCTGCTGGCTGCTCGTCCCCGGAGGCCTCCCGGGTGCCCTGCTTCTGAGTCTCCTTCCAGAGTCTCGGCGCAGGCTGGTGTGCGTGTGTGCACGTGTGTCCGCCCGTGTGTGTGACTGTGTGCCCGTGTGACTGTGCCCGTGCGTGCATCTGTGTGTGTGCACGCACGTGCATGCGTCTGCGTCTGCCTGCCCTGGCACGGGGTCCCCGGCCGCCCTGACGCCTTGCCTCTGCCCGCAGGTCTCCGTGCTGGTCTTCGTCGCCCTGGCCTTCCTCACCTGCGTCGTCTTCCTGGTGGTCTACAAGGTGTACAAGTATGAACGCCTCTGCCCCGACGGGTTCATCCTCAAGGTAAAGCGCCCCCCGGCCCAGGGGCACCGCTGCACCTGTGTCTCCCTTGACCTCACGGCACCTGAGGGACAAGCTCTTGAGGGCTGAAGCCAGGCTGGCGAGGGGTCCCTGGGAAAGGTTCCTGTGGGCGGGCGGGACCTGTGGGAGGAAACTCCTGGGAGGGCCCGCAGAAGTGGAGGGCGTGCGGGGAAGCTGAGGCCCGGGGGGGGCTGCCACGGCCACGCGGGGCTCTGGGAGCAGGGCTGGCACACAGACCACGCTCCTGACCGTGTCCCGTCGGACCGAGTGTCCCGCCCGCCTGCCGCGCCGTGGCCCGTGCTCGTGGACGCCCCCGTGGCTGGTGTGGCGCCTCGTTCCACGACGCTGCGTGTGGCACGCAGTACGGACAGGGCGGGAGGCGGGAGATAAGGCAGCGCCGCGCCGTGGCCCGTGCTCGTGGACGCTCCCGTGGCTGGTGTGGCGCCTCGTTCCACGACGCCGCGTGTGGCACACAGCACGGACAGGGCGGGAGGCGGCAGATAAGGCAGCGCACGCGGTGAGCAGGCGAGGCCGGGGGAGCCGGTGCGCTGGCCGGGCCGGCTCCTGCTCCCAGGCTCTGGGCGTCCGGGTCCCACGTTCGGTCCCGGACTTCTCAGGGCCGTTGTGCAGGGGACACGCCATCGTTTCCAGGGTTGGGTTGCTGACGCTGCAGCAGGAGCGCCCAGCTGTCTTGGCACTGAGCACGTGCACGGGCGGGCCTGGTCTGCCCGAGGCGACTAGGTCTGGGAGTCACTGACTGAGGGGCACAGGGCCCTTGCCAAGTTCGCAGGCGAGGCTGGCCCACGTTCCTGGTCCCCGCCCTTGTCCCCTCATCACGCTGTGTGCTGGACGTAGGGCTCCCACACGCCAGCCTGTCCCCCGGCCGCCTTCCCTGCCGGCCACGTGCTGGTGGCCGCTGTCCCAGGGGCTGGAACACAGCGGCCCACCAGGTAAGGAGCCCGCCCTCTGGGGCTCCGATTCTCCAAAGCAGGGTGAAGCCAGCTGTCTGCTGGGTTGGAGGGGTGTAAGCGCTGGAAAAGCAAAGCAGGGTGGGGGCAGGCTTGAGCAAGGCCTGTAGGCCCGTGAGGGAGCCGTGCAGGCTCCTGGGGAAGCGCATCCTGGGCCGGCTGCGTTCACTGCCTGGACGCTCAGAGCCTCCTGGTTTGGAGGAAGCCGACGCAGAGGCCTGGGGGCTTCGAGCAGGGGACGGCTGGCCTGGACCCAGCGAGCCGGGGAGCGGACAGACGCTGCAGGGCTGAACCAGGGGGTGGGGGAGCAGCACACACTGGTGACGGCAGGACGGGAGGGGGCGCTGGGTGGCAGTGGGAGGTGAGCTGGCTGTGGCCAGGCTGCCTGCCAGGCAAACGTCCCTGGAGGAGGGGAAGTGATGGGTGGTCCCTCAGTGGCCTGGGGAGGCTGGAGGCTGGAAGTGAGTGACAGGAAGCAGGTGACCTGGAAGGCGGCTGCTCTGGACCAGGAAGAGATGAGGGTCTGGACTGGTCGTGTGCTGGGCACAGATGGGGGAGACTTGGGACGTCAGACGGGAAGGTATCTGGGAGGCGGGACGGCAAGAGGTGTGGACTGGTCCAGAGCTGGGTGACTCCGGGGCTCCCATCATGGAGAGGAGCAAAGATTTCACAGGAGCAGTGACCCAAAGGGCACCTGATGCACAGAGGACAGCCAAGTCCCCAACCAGACAGACTGCTCACAGATACCAGGACAGCAGCCCCCCCAGGGGCCTCTGGGGCTTCCTTTCAGGCTCACTCCCCGAGCCTGGGGGAGGGGCAGACTGAAACAGCCGCCCCATCCTGCAAGGCCAGTCTGCCGGGTGACCTGGTCCTGGCGAGGCTGGCGCACAGCCGCCCTGGGGATGTGGTCAGTCCCGAGACTTCCACAGCTGCATCTTGGGACTCTGGCATTTTCCACTGGCATCTGATGGGGGGTCCTTCCTGGAGAACCAGCTGGGGGGCTGGGAGCTGCTGGTCCAAATCTCACCGCCCTTGGCTACAGCTGGAGGAAGGGGAGGGAGAGCATTGGAGCAAGCCTCCCCCCTTTTGCATGTTTGTGTATGTGCCACACCCTGGCACCAGACCTACCAGGGCCTTTACCCCGGATCTCTGAGGGCTGCCCGACACCCTGGGGGGAGTTGCTGCAGACCCCCCATTACCACAGGAGAATGCAGGAAGCCCCTCTTCCCTCCCTCCCATGTTTGAATGTTTTATTTCTGGTAGACGTCACAAGTTCCGTTTTCCATATTTAAAATATGTGACGACTGCCTGGCCGGGCGTGGCTCAGCGGCTGAGCATCGACCTATGACCCAGGAGATGGAGGCTGGATTCCCGCCAGGGCCTGGCCCGGGCTGCGGGCTGATCCCCGGTAGGGGTCGAGCAGGAGGCAGTTGGTCAGTGACTCGTCACTGACGTTTCCATCTCTCTCTCCCTCTCCTTCCTCTCCCTCAAATCATAAGGACGTATTTAAAAAATACATGACAAACATTAGGGTTCTTGGTGAAGTCAGAGGCCTGCTGCTCGGTGCTGCGCCCGGGGGGCCCACGTACCCCCTCCCCCGGTCCTGGGGAGACAGGAGCTCACCCGAGGCGCCCGCCGGCCCCTCCCGCCGAGCGCGGCTCAGCAGCCCCCTGTCTTTCAGAACACCCAGTGCATCCCCAACGGCCTGGCGGCCTACTACGCGGAGCAGGACCCCCACTCCCCGGACAAGTTCTATGCCGTGGTGAACCACTACAACCTGGCCAAGCAGAGCGTCACCCGCTCCGTGTCCCCCTGGATGTCCGTGCTGTCCGAGGAGAAGCTGTCGGAGCAGGAGACTGAGGCTGCGGAGAAGTCGGCCTAGTGTGATGGGCGTGGGCCACCTGAAGGTAACAAAGGGACTCTGAGGGACACTTCATTAAGTATAATTACCGATAATTAGAGGCTACTCATTATGGTGCAACTGCTTCTGTTTGCTAACGCTGCTTTGCAAATAAACGCCGCAGACCACCCGTGGGCATCAACCGGTGCGTGTCGGGCTGCTCAGGGCGTCCGACCACTTTCCACGGGCAGGGATCTTAATATAGCTGCTTTGTTGGATCTATTGGATGCTGTCAGAAATAAATTTTCACTGGATGTACAGGGGGCTTGGGTTTCAGATAAACAGTGCATTTGTGGAATTCTTCTCTTAAATCCTCCCCGAGGAAATGATTTGATTTTTAGATGAGAAGGGAGAGAAAGAGAGACATAGATGTGAGACAGAAACATCGGTCGGTTGCCTCCCATACCAGACCTGACGGGGGTCGAACCTGCAACCCGGGTATGTGCCCTGACCAGGAATCAAACCTGCGACCTTTTGGTGCCCAGGACGATGCTCTAGCTGAGCCACTGGCCAGGGCTGGAGCTGACTCTCTAGGCCACCTTGCTGTCTGTAGACCTAGCGCCCAGCACATCTAGAGCGAGCCCGCTTCGCTCAGGGCAGCTGTGCCCCCCACCCGTCTGACCGCACCAGCCCCGATCACCTCCTCGCTGGTGAGGGTGCAGAGGACGACGGGTGAGTGCCACCAGGTCGTGCCAGGACGGTTTGCTGAGTGCATGTCGCCCGAGTCGGCGTGGGGGGTGAGGGGACACTGGAAGGAGGTGAGCTGGGCCCAGGCTGCAGAGCACTGTCTCCCTGCAGGTGGTCTGTTGGCTGACCAGGAATGTAGACCCACTGGCCCTTCTGTTACCCTCTGCCTTGAATAAATTTGCACCAACGGCCCTATTAGCAAGTTAGTTTTTAAAGAATTAGCTGGGTGGGAAAGTGAAGCTGTAATTGCTGGTAAGCCAAGGCTGCTTTAATTTCAATTTTGTGAAACAGATGTAACTCCTTTGATGTAAG